CCTGGTGACTCCAAGGGGGGCCCTGGTGAACAGACTTTCCCTGAGTCCCTGCTGCTGGCCCCGATAAGGTTGTAGGCAGCCACAAGATCCCTCCTCCTCAGTCTCCTCTTGCGGAGACTGAAGAGATTCAGGTCCCTCAGCCTCTCTTTGTAGGGCTGGCCAAGGAGGCCCCCAGCCATACGAGTGGTCCTCCTCTGGACCCTCTCCAGGGTCTCCATGTCCCTCCCGAAGTGCAGCGCCCAGAACTGGACACAGGACTCCAGCCGTGGCCTGACCAGCGCCGCATCGAGGGGGGGGGCAAGACCTGTCTGGACCTGTTAGTGATGCCCCTGTTGATGCACGACAGGGTCATGTTTTAAGTTGAGGATGAACTACATTTCTATTTCCCCTATTGTCTTAAAGAAAATTTATTCAGGACCAAGATATGGCTTGTTCTCAGCATAAGCATAATATAATAAAGTCAGACACTTGACCATTGTCTTGCTGTAGATTTTGAACCATTGTCTTGCTGAAGTGCTGCATGCATTTCCTTTGTGAAAACGTAACAACAGGTGTAAATACTTTAATGTCACACTCTGTAATACCAATAAACACTTAAAAAAGCTGTTTAGGTTATTCTAAGACTTAAACTCCTTAACATTTAGGTGACATTTAAAGGTAAGAAAAAACATACTAATAAGCTTAGTTTCAATGATAAAATGTAGTAGTCTTAAGATAGTGATGCCGGAAGATAAAAAGTCAGTCAAGCCTGTGTCTTTGTGTGTTGTCTTTAAAATTTCAAGATTGGAGTGGTTTGGTATACTTTAAATAGATTCTTGCCTTTTAAATGTCAATAGAATGTCTTTTTAGTTCTAAATGTACATTTATGGTTAGTTAAATGCTTAAGCAATGCCTAGGCTCCGAACAAAGATGGAGAACTCTAAACTCTTATAAAAAAAAAAAAAAAGAGAGAGAGAAAGAAAAAAAGACATTTCTGTGTTCCTTACTTATTCTGTCTTCATAATAGTTATAGTAAACTTTGTTTTAACTGTTGGTATTGCAGCCTGTTTGTTATCTGCAAATCAAGCAAACTTCTCAGTGTTCAGTATGTCATTTCCAACAACAGACTTTTAGAATTGGCTTGTACAGTAAAAGCTCTGTTATCCGGCATCCCCGGGAATGGGGGATAACAGTTAATCAAATATTCTGGTTAATCAAATGTGCACCATTTGGTGCACTCCCCAGCATCAGTGTGCCGGGGGACAGGGAGGCCTGTGCAGGCTGCTTTGCCCTGGGCCGTGGGCCAAAGTAGTGGCAAGAACTCTGCTCGTGGCAGCAGGGAAACCCAGAAGTGGTACTTCCTGTTTTGCTTTTGCCTCATCCCTTGGAGTTTTCCAGCTAATAAAATGCCGGTTAACACAGTTTTTGCTCTACTTGGCAGTTTGGTCCATGAGGCTGGATAAAATATAGCTTGTGCGTCTGCAGCTGAACACTAGTGGAGCAGAGAAACGTCTTGTTCTTGTCCCAGAAAAGGAAAAGGAGGCATGACTGGGAAGTTGCACAGGGAGCAGATACTGTGATGTCATTTTTAATTTTGACAAGGTCACTTTAGCCATCAGCCATACAATGAAAGAAGTGGAAACAATGGCCCTTTTCAGAGATCAAGGATGAAAATAATAAACTTTTTTTTTTTTTTAAGGTTACAACAAAGAATTGAGAAACCTTTCAGGAGGCCTGTACAAGAAGGGGGTTCAGCCTGAGTTGTCATTCTTTTAATTACTTTAATTTGTTTCTGATAAGATATGGGCAAACCTAGAGAGGTATCACATCAATAAACTGAGAGACTGGGGAGGGGGGGAGGAGGGGAAAGCAAGGGGGTGGGAAGCAAGGTTCAAGCATGGAGCCATTGAATTAAGAGACAAGGGTTGAGATGTATTGGAGGTAAATACAGAAGAAATACAAGTCTAGGGAGGAATCCTGGGACCTCTGCAACAATGAGCCTATAACAGTAGACAAATGAAAAATTGGAAACAATCATATTGCAAGCCTTAACTTTAGGAGATCTGAAATAAGGTTAACAAGCTTTGGAGTGTAAAAACCACAAGTACTTTTACATAAAAGAAGCACAGCTGTGTTTTTTAAGAAAGCATGTGGGTGTTAATTGACCACCTACATTTTCAGTGAAAAACAGCAAGTACCTTATTTCACTGGGCAGTTGCATTAAAACTGTTCTTCAGAGGAGCATGGAACATTGTGCTTACATTATAATGTCTCTTCTAAGTAATGAAAGAAACAAACCATCCAAGCCATCTTTCATATCAAGAGAGCTTATTCTTGAACTGATTCCTATCTTGGTTTGGCTTCTTGTTCAAACCTTGCGTTTAGCCAAATTTATTTACTAAGCAACTGTCTTTCACATGTTTATTCTTCTTCAACTAATAGCTCAGTCTAATGGTGTATGATGGCTATCCAGTAAGCAGTAAAACCAACATACCTTTTGATTTCTGCTTTTTAGAATTCGTTAATTTTGTTATTCAATGAAGGAATATGTCTTGAATTGATAATTACCCCTGGAAAATGAACTGTTGTTTCCTTTTGTTTTTCAGGGTGGATATTAATAAGGACAAAAAGATAAGCGCTAAAGAGATGCAGCGCTGGATCATGGAGAAGACAGAAGAGCATTTTCAGGAAGCTGTAGAAGAGAACAAAATGCACTTCAGAGCAGTGGACCCTGATGGTGATGGTAGGAGAACAGTGTTTATTTTGTCTTGTGCAATTAGCTGGTTTGTGGCATAAGTTTACAGCAGCTAGAAAGCCCATCTGGTAGTTTTGCTGAAGACCTAGTCAGAAACCACATCCTAGTCTCTTCAAAATCCCGAGTCCAGTTTCATCCTTGCATTTGTATTGTGCCTTGGGATAATCAGTAGAAGAATCTTCACTTTAGGGCCTACCTGCTAGGGATTTTTCTTTTTCTAATTATTTTGTATCACTGGTATCACTTGACCAGTATCGGTAAAATTAAACTCTGAAATAGATGTGTCATTGTATATCAGTCACTTGGGAACCTATAGGTGACATAAGTCTGCTCGTACAATGTTGTGTTAACTATGTAAAAACATATTTCAGTATTAGGGTTTTCATCATTTATTAGTGCAGGGTTAGCAATGATGGTTTGAAAAATTTCCCTGGTGTTGCCCAGGCCTGAGAGTTGAATTTTTCTTGACTTTGATGTCTCAAAAGAGAGCATTTTAAATAGTCGCACTAAAAATAGGGCAAATACACGCATTTCTGCTAACTAGACAAATGTAGCCATTTGCTCTTTGTTCAGCTTGTAGTGGGACATTTACCATCTGTAACAGAAAATAAGCTTAGAATAGTTTCCATTGAGTCAAATTGAACCCATAGGAAGTCCAGCTCAATGAAAAAATGTGTCCACAATTCTCCCATGGAAATGCATATGAATTTCTTCTGACATACAATAGTCAAATTGCAACCCTTGCAAAAGGCAGCCAGAAGAATATTTTAGGCCTTAGCATTAGGGGAAGGAATCTGAAGTCTCCTCAGAAGATGCTTGGCAGGCACAATGTTGATGATGCTTAGCCATGATAAAATGTACAGTCATTGGGTTGTGAGTTGAAATAGATTAATTCTCATGAAATGCAGGAGCATAAAACGTTTTGGCAGGTGGCACAGTAAGAAACAATACCAAAAGCTGTTTTAAATGTTTCTGAAGATGCTATGATATTTTCCACGTCTGAGATGCAACTCTCTTTTATAGGCCATGTGTCTTGGGATGAGTATAAAATTAAGTTTCTGGCAAGCAAGGGGTTTAATGAAAAAGAAGTTGCAGAGAAGATCAAAAACAATGAAGAGCTAAAAATTGATGAAGAAAGTAAGTACAGTCAGCTGCTGCTACCTGTGTGACTTTCTGGTGGGGGAATTGAATGATAAAATGTGTGGTAAGTGTGTTGGGGTGGTCTCCAGTCTTTGCTGACCTCTGAATTGAGTAATGTATGTTAGAAAGCATCATGTTGTGGTCTCTGCGGCTGTTGTATAACATTGGCGGGTCTCCAGTCATTCACAAAGGGACTTGGGCATAGTACTGCTAAGCATCCCCGTGCCTACAAAGCAGGTATCCTGTTCTGGGAGGGGAACTGATGAACCAAAGTTAGATGCCTCAGTTCCCTGTGCTTCTAAATAACATGGCACTTGCAGTGTAGAACATGGTGAGCTAGGTGGTGAATGGCAGATCCAGACAGTAGCAATTTTAGGTGTGTTCAGAAGATGGTGACTGGATTGAACTTGTTATGGAGCTGGTTGTGGGAATACGTAGCTGGGGAATCCTAAATGGATTTAAGTAGGATTCATATACCTAAACAGTCAGCTCAGGCAAGATGACTGTGTTCCTGGCCATGGATAGTAGCTGAACTTTTAAGCTCTTTTAGTTTTTTGGCCAAGGTTTTCCAGAAATTATAGCCCCTGGAAAGTGTCAGTTTAATCAGACTAAGCAGGCTTTTTAGATTTGTGTGTCTAACTTTATGAAAAAACTTAATCAGTCTCTCAAAACCCAGATGAAAAAAATTACCTTGGAGCTGAATTCCTCCCTTTTGTTTATTTTTTATCTTCATGACTAATTGTAGAAGATGAGGGTTGGAAGGAGGTCACATCTAATCCAACCCCCTGCTCAAAGCAGGACCGTCCCCAACTAGATCATCCCAGCCAGGGCTTTGTTGAGCTGGGCCTTAAAACTCTCCCAAGTATGGAGATTCTACCACTTCTCCGGGTAACCTGTTCCAGTGCTTCACCACCCTCCTATAAATTAGAAATAGGATCAAAGAACAAAATCCTAATAGTTCTGCACTACCTTGGCATCTTCATTCAAGCATTCTTCAAAGCACTAATGATTAATACTTCATTATTTTTTATGAACAGTTCTCATTTACAGTAAAAGCTCCGTTATCTGGCATCCCCTGGGAATGGGGGATGCTGGATAACAAAATATGCCGGTTAATCAAGCAGCCTGAACAAGCGTCCTTGCCTTTTCGGGCTGCTGCTGCTTCTGCCGCATCCAGGGCATCACTGCTCCTCCCATGACATCACTGCCCTGCCCGTGGGACAGGGAGGCGGACCCCGCGCAGCCTGTTATGTCCCCAGGCTGTGGGGGTTTGGCAGCGCAGGCTGCTTTGCCCCAGGCCGTGTGGGCTTGGAGAAACCGGAAGTGCCACGGTGGGCACTTCCAGTTTCATTTTGTCTTGCAAGCTGGCATGCCGGTTAACAGAGCATGCCGACTTGTAAGGTGCCGGATAACGGAACTTTTACTGTACTTGAGTTCTACGTCTTAATTTATACGTGGCCTACATAACTCAGGATTGTGTCTTTTTAAGCAGTCATTGCTTAAAACAACTTTTTAAGGTATTTTGAGATTTCATAACCTTATACAGATTCTTTTCAGAAAGCATTGTAGAGTCTGTAGCACAGCCTATCTTAGTGGTATTTTGTTGGCATGTTAGAAAAAAATGACAACAGAATAAAACGCTGCCCAGCGCGGCAAGTGGGGGGGCCACAGCTGCTGCTGCCACCGTGCATCCCTGACGGATGAGCCTGGAGCTGGCATGGGGCTGGGTTACAAGCTGGTGCTGAGTGTGGGGGAAAAGCAGCCCCTTGCCCGGCTTGTGGCTGGCGCCCTGCGCTGCAGCTGCTCGCAGCCCGCATGGGGATGCCTGTGCCTGCTAAGGACAGCCCTGTGCAGGCTGCAAGCGGCTGCAGCAAGGAGTGCCGGCCACGGGGTGGGTGAGGGTCTGCTTTTCCCCACGTTCCACACCAGCTCCTTCCCTGCCAGTGAGCAGGGGGTCGGGGCTGCGCGCTGCCCCCAGTCTGTACCACGGGGCTGGGGGTCACTGGTGCAGGCCCTGTGCTCCTGTGTCCCAGGGCCAGTGCCAGCAGGGCCCAGAGCAGGGCGGCAGGGGTACAGGGTCCCGGGCAGCAGGGGCTCTGTGGAGCTGGGCCAGCTCCCCCCTCTCTGCTCTGGGCCCTACCGGTGCTGGCTCTGGGACATTGGTCCCAAGATGGTGACCAGAGGGTGGGGCTACCCATGTGGCCCTCAACAGCTTGCCAAAACGGGGTAAGTGGCCCTCTACCCGAGATAATTGCCCGCCCTGGCCTAGGAGCACTGTGACTGTAAATAACAAATAAGTCTTTTTCACAGTGGCTGCTACCGGGTGGCTGCTGACAGGGAGCGTGGATGCTGATGGGGAGGGTGAACAGATCATGTCCAGATTTTTCTACCCCCTATTCTTTTTCACTTTAGCTTCCATGAGTCTAAGGTTTCAGAAGTTCTGATCAAGAGCTTGAAAGTTTGTACTGTAGGTTTAACTGCATACTTAAACAGTACACTGTGCTTACAGTGATGTGATAATGCATATTTTCCATGTGTTGTTAGTTTCTGTGTTACACTATTTAATTGTAGCAAAGGAAAGTCTACAGATCGTTCTTGTGGGGGGCGAAGGAAGCTGTTTGCATGTGCACGTATGTGCATGTGTATATAAATACGACCATGTTGATGTGCACACGCTCTATACTGTGGTAGAAACTAGTACCAGCACTGCCTTGCTATCAGCACTGCCATGCCAGACTTTAGCTCTGTACCCTCCCTGAGTCTGACTCTGATCCTCATCCTGTGCATGATTTACTCTGCTTTTTGCTTCCTACCTTACCTGCTGCTGTTTTGGCTTGTCCCTTCTCTGATCTAGTACAGAGGCTGCCCATGCTACTTGTGGCACTTGTATGCCTGAGCTAAGACGTACAGAATAGAGACTAGTTCATTTCAAATGACCTTAAATTTTGCATCATTTCTATATGGTGCAAAAAGGAGAACTCTAGCTTAATAAGAATAGTCATCGTTTTGCATCACTTTAGCAACTTGCTGTTGAAACAGACCTGTTCTTCCAAAGACAGCTATTCTGTAGTAATTGCTACCTTTCCTGTCCTGTATGTGTTTGAATGCGCTGTTAACCTGAATGAGACATCAAGACTTAGCTCTTCCTTGCAGGAATTAGTCACTGAAAACTGGGTTATTATCATTATGCTTTCCATTTGTCAAAAAAGCAACTACAATGCAAATAGATCTTTGAATTTTGTGCAGTACAGGTGTTTTCCCGGCCGCGGTTTATGGCAATGTGGTTAACTACAGTTTACAGGAATGCTGATCAGATAAACTGTTTTTAAGATTTGCTGAATAAGGAAATTGTGTGTATGGTTCACTGTAAGACCTAAGCAACCTACAATAACCAAGCCTTGTTTGGCAAAATGTAAACTAATTTTGTACCACTTCCTGACTCTGAGGATACACAGAATTGCTTATGTACTCTCACTGATGGAATGTGGGTGGTTTTCGTTAACAAAAAAAGATTGGTGCCTTAAGACTGGTGAAGGCCCTTAATTAAGTCTTTGACTGTCCAAAGCACTGATCACCCAAACAACACCTTTTAAAGCAAATGAAAATAAGCTTGTTTTTGTTAACTTTGTTCTGATACCAAAATATTTTAACTTTCAGTAAATAAGTATAACATCAGGGTTTTTTGGAGGTTTGTAAGTAGTCAGATAAGACTAGGACTTGAAGTGTGTTTATATATGTACATTTTTGTGCCACAGATCCGACGCGTTGGAGCAGACTAGATTAATCGAGTTTGCTCTGCACATGAACTGATGCACACAGTGCTGCATTGCACAGTTGTATAAGTAGTGAAATGCACGTCAGCGTGGAGAAAATGGCTGCGGCACGCTTTTGAACTAAAACAGCTTCTCTGTGTGTTAGTTCAAAAGTGGGCCACTGCCATTTTCTGCGCACTGATGCACATTTTGCCACTCATACAACTGCAAGCAACACAGCACTGGGCGCTTTTCAAAGTGCCTGGCGCTGTGGCACTTGCACATGTAAAAATGCCCCAACTGTTTTGAGGCATTGTTACATTCAGTGTGGCGCTGACCTGCAGCATTCAAGTGGTTATATTGGGACATCTAAGACTTGGGGATGCCCTCCAGTAGTTTAGTGATACATGAATGGATGTTTCTAGTTTCTTCTAGGTATGCAAGTCTGCATTGGAGAAGGGCAGCTCTGAGGCACAATTCAACAGTCATTTGAATATTTTGAGTCAGCATTATTTGTGCGATATAAACCAACATTACTGCTAATGTAGGATTAACTGGTCTTAGGTCTGATTTTAATCTCCTTAAAATCAGTGGAAGTTCTTCCATTAACTTCATAGGCCTTGGGGCAGGCCCCTAATGATGGTAGGAATGCCCAACAGGAAAATGGGCTGGTTTTGTTCTTTTTTTCAGTGAATGCTGTAAAAATTCTAACTCCTGGATACCACCTAGCTGGGGAAAGAGAAATTGTTGTCAGAAATGAGACTATGCATACTCCTGACCCCTTTTTTTTTGCCTTCCTTTATTTTTAATATTTTTAACACCATCCAAATGTGTACTAAAGCAAATCCCTAAACAGATAAAATGATCTTCCTGTCCCAAGAATGCAAACTAATTCTCGATGTGATCTGGCAACATTGCAGAGTTCTGACAAATTCTTTCTAAATGTATGGTGGTAAGTTTTTGCACGATAGGCAGGATTTCCAACATGTGTCACTTAAGTGCTCCAAATAGGAGAGAACTTTATGTACATATTTTTTTCAAGTTGTTTCCTGTTTGGGATTGTCTAGGTGTATTGCAAACCTGCATGCTCTATAATGCAGGTCTAAAATAGAACCTGTAATTTATTTTGTATGGAAACAAGTGGTAAGGTAATGGGGTTTTTTCAGTTAGTCAAATTTAGGAGAAAAATTCACTTAAAATTGCTTGTCAGACATGATGTGAAAAAAAAAAAAAAATGAAAGGAACCATAGCGTAAAGAGGTTTCTTTTGTTCCGATATAAACTCTGTGTGCATGTGGTTAAATTTACATCTCCATACAGCAAAAAATTTCCACTTGTTAGAAAGATTATAACAAAAACTGAAGAATTTGCAAGATTTGGCAGTGTAAAGCAGCCAGATTTGTAATCAATATAACATAGAACTAACACAGAAAGCTCTTGAGCTACTGAGAGAAGGAAAGTGAACACTTTTGTTTTAAACTCTTTGAAAGTTAAATGTGCTTTACTGTGTAGCATTTATAATTAAGGCTGTCTGTGCATTTCCATTCAAAGGCCTGCCTTACTTTACATCTTCTGCTTTTCAAAGTATTTTTGGGCCCAAATCTGACAGACTTATTCAGTAGGGGAGGGAATATAGTGTTTTGGGGGATTGGAGGGTTCTTTGCAGGTCAAAAAGCTTTAGATATGAAGAGCAGGGGAAGAAACATTCTCCATAACTTTTCCCCACTTTTTAATTAAACCTTTAAGTGCAATTCTAGCTGTTCTACTTGCTGAGACCCTGGAAATTTTAGCAAGGCCCAGGCCTCTATCGAGAAGTGCTTTTGATTCTTGGGGTGAAATTTGAAGTATAGCCACAAAATAAACCTGAGAAAATTTCACTTAACACATTCTGTACAAGTGAACTAATTTTATTTTAAAGAAGTACCAAGGAAGAAAACAGCCCTGCTCCTGCTATATGTGTAATGTATACTATGAAAAGAACCAAAGCGTAAGGTGGTTTCTTTCTTTTCTTCCAATATAACTCTGTGAGCATGTGGTTACATTTCTTGGATGTGCACTTTTTACATATTCTCATCACTGCGGCATCGTAGCAGCTTGCAGTCAGTGTAAAAAGGAGACAGACAGTTTTTCTAAAAATGTGTTTGTTTAAACTTGCCTGTATCTGGAGTTCCTACTGGAAGCCTTAAAGCCTTCATCCATGATACAATTTGAATTTCATTCTGGTGTCTCTGATATTAGCAGAAGGCAGCATGAATCTAATGTTACTATTGTTATCCCCATGCAAGAAGAGATTAGGTTTCTACATTCCTTCCCCCCCACACTTTCTTTTATTAACATGGAGAACAGGGGTGGGCAAAATGTGGCCTGGGGGCCAGATCCGGCTCGCCAGGCCATTCTATCCAGGCTGCAGAGCCCCTAAAAAATTTAGAAAATGAATATTTATCTGCCCCTGGCTGCCTGCCACGTGGCCGTCAATGGCTTGCCAAAACTCAGTAAGTGGCCCTCTGCCCAAAATAATTGCCCGCCCCTGATGGTAGAGAATGAGGGATATGTGTGTCTCATGAGTATCATGGGTCCTTGGTTAACTAGTCTGATACTCTCACAGACTTAGAGGAGTGAGAGGAGAACAAACAGGAGACAAAACCATGGTAAAAATAAGTTTCAGTATAAAAAAAGAGCAGGGGTCCTACTAGAAGCAATGAGAAGCTGTTTATCAGGGCTCCAGTCAGGCCAGCAAATTTTTATTTTTGTTTGGTCCTGAACCGAGGATTATGATGCTGGCCTGAGGGAGGAGGAGACGCTGATGGATATTTGGGATGAAGGAGGGAAAACGTCAGTGCAGTCTGCTGCTTCCAGCTCAAATGGAGGTAGTTGGGCTATGTAGAACTTACCAAAATTTGCAAGAAGAGAGTAAGGTTTAGGTGAGGGAAAGCCTGTATATAAGCTTCTCTGGTTTTAATTCTGGTCTTTAATTGTCACGTACCATTGGGTGATTGAATAGGTCATGATTTGTTTAATGAAGTTGTTTAATTGTATCAGTTTAAACTCCTGTGGTCACAAACCCTAGCAGTAGTAAACAGAGAAATTCCTGCTCGGATGGTAGTCCCAGAGGTTTGGATTGCCAGGGTCTGCCCTTTGGAGACACGAAGGAAGCTAGTGAGGGAGTAAAGGGGACTAAGACACAGTTTGTTCTACATCTACAGCAAGAATGATGCTCCAGTAACTTAATTTCTTTTTTTAATATGCCCAGCTGTTTGCAGAGATGTATAGCTCATGTGATGAACCCAGCTCAAGAGTGCAACAGTCAAATGTTTACAAGTATTTTAAAAAATATATTGTATATCCATTCTTCATTTGCTAAAAATTCTGTTGTTTCACAAATGAAAACATTGTCTAGTCTTTTTGGTAGTATTTGCATTTTGGCGGGGTGGGAGGGAATTTCCAAGGTGCAAAAATAGTACTCCCACTCCTTCCCAAAAAGACCATTTTTAGAACTACAAAAGAAAAATCTTATTCAGAAATTTTTGATCAGCTTTATTTTTAAGGAAGATAGGCTCTGAATATGTGTCCATTAGGTTGTCTTCCATTAGTTATCCTTTTTCCAGTCCTGGAGTTTATATATGTAGGGGCACTCACTAAAAATGCCTTAAGTGAGATATATGATAATATAGAAGATGCCAAGGCTTTTAATAGTGGGTGTAATTATTTTTCATTATGTTTTAATGTAATATGTTCTTGAAACACTCCATTTCCCTCTTTTCCCCTTCCCAGCGTTGATTCTCTCTAACTTTCATGATGAACTGTTGGCTTTAGCTTCCTTGCGTCGACTAGCAAATCAGCTTAAATCAGTTGAGTTCCTACTCATTTGGAAATAGTTTCTAGAGATCTGGTGGCTGTGGGGAAGGGAAGTGGTCATGGGAAGATGGTATCTGAACAGTAGTGGGAGGTCTGACTCCATTAAGGAGAACATCTTGAAACAGAAGAGATGAGTGCTGTGCTCAATAGGGTGGAGGCTAGAGAGTTTTGAAGGAACAGTAATAACAAGAGAGTCTGAGACACAGGGTGGAAGGTAGGTCAAAGAGATGATTGCACGCAGAGGAAGATATTAGTGGGGTTGTGATTGCTGAGGAAGAGACTCCATGCAACCTTTGTGTCAGCACTAGGACTGTGCAAAGCTTCAGTCCCTGATTCGATTCGGTGGAGGTTCGGCCTGATTCGGTGGCCGAATCTCTGAATCCGGATCAAATCAAAGGACCCTTTAATTTCTCTGAATTGAAGCTGAATCCTCTGAATCGATTTGGAGAGATTTGGCGACTCGGACATAGACACAGCTTTAAATGTTTTTTTCTGCATACCTCTAAGTAGCAGGGGCTTGTGATCACTGCGATGCTGGGATGCATGGAGTGTCCCACAAAAGTATAGGGGGGGTCCCCAATGCACTCAACAGCAGACGCAGAAGTGGACCAGAAGCACTTGCGGGTCCTCCAGGGAGCGCGCAGGGTGGCCCCCCCACACCCATGCAGCTTGGCGACTGGTACCTTGTGGGTCTGGGGGCAGGGCACCCCGGGTCCCCCTGCAGCTGATAGCTAAGCCACTGGGGGGCCCCAGCACACTTCCCAGCAGACCCGCAAGTGGACCAGAAGTAGTTCCGGTCCACTTCTGGGTTCGCCACCGAGCACATGGGGGGAGGGGGGCACTGCTGTGGGACGATCCATCTGCCCCTGCATCACAGAGTTCGTGAGCTGTGCTGGTACCTCGAGCTATATAGAAAAAACAGTTAAGCTGTGTCTATGGCCGAATCGCCAGTTCTCTGAATCGACATCGAATCATCAGATTTGGATTCGGCCGAGTTGAATTGGGGACAGTGATCCGAATCAACAGATCGAATCACTGTCCCCGATTTGGGCTGAATCTGAATTGAATAGGGCCTGCTTCACACACCCCTAGTCAATACTGTCAGACCATAGAGTCTTGTGTCCAGTTTTGGCCCTGCCCCCACCCACTACAGAAGGGATGTGGACAATTTGGAGAGAGTCCAGTGGAGGGAAATGAAAATGGTTAGCAGCCTGGGGGGATACGACTTGTGAAGAGGGGCTGGGTGAACTGGGCTTATTTAGTCTGCAGAAAAGGAGACTGAGAGGGGGTTGAATAGCAGCCTTCAGCTCCTTTAAGGGAGGGTCCAAAGAGGATGGAGCTGGGCTGTTCTCAGTGGTGGCAGATGACAGAACAAGGAGCAATGGGCTCAAGCTGCAGCAAGGGAAGTTTAGGTTGGATATTAGGAAACACTTTTTCATGAGGAGGGTAGTAAAGCACTGGAACAGGTTACCCAGAGAGGTGGTGGACTCTCCATCCTTGGAGGTTTTTAAGACCCAGCTTGACAAAGCCGCCTTGGCTGGGATGATCTAGCTGGGGCTGGTCCTGCCTTGCGCAGGGGGTTGGACTACATGTGACCTCCTGAGGTTCATTCCAACTCTCATTTTCTATGATTCTCTCTTGTCTGCCTTTAAAATAGTCGCACACAAGCTAAGATAACATAGGGGTGCCAACAGCTTTATTTTCTTTGCATCTGACCCAAACCAGTTGACTGGGTAGACATTCTGAAATACTTCATAGTTAATGTAGCACAGAAATCTTGGTGAGAGATGGTCAAAGAAAAGGTGGCCATCTCTTTTGTCTTTTCTGAGCTAGTTATAAAAATGGTACTAGGGGACAGTATGATGCTGAAGATACCCTTTCAGTAGAAATGTAAAACTATAGTCTGACCAATTGTTAAAAAAATGTTATGGCTCTTCAGCTGTAGTTTAAATAGAATAATTACATTTTATTGAATTAAATGATCTGCTTACTATGCTAATGTGTTGTGAATAAATAGCTATTTTCATAGCCTATGTAATTGCAAGTTGGGGGTGTGTGAAATCAGAAGGATATGGGGTTAAACTGGGCATTTCACTCCAAAATATCCCATTTTGATGATGTAACCAAGCCAGATTTCAGTTTACAACTCAGGCTAATTTTCTCCATCATTCTCTCTCGCTCCCCCTGCTGTCCCCAACAAAAATTATTTAAATAACCAAAAAAAGGGGGGAAAAAACCCTATTAGGTAGGCAATACAGGATTCAGGTTTGGGATATTTTTCTGTACAGAGTTGATTACTACAAACATTGTCTTTAATTTCTAGCACAAGAAGTTCTTGATAACCTGAAAGATCGTTGGTACCAAGCTGACAACCCCCCTGCTGACCTATTGCTGAATGAGGGAGAGTTTTTGTCCTTTCTTCATCCTGAGCACAGCAGAGGGATGCTGAAGTTTATGGTCAAAGAAATCATCCGTGATCTTGGTATGTGAGTTTAAATCCTGTAGTTTGGAAGTGTCTCCCCTACAAAACTTACTGGAACTGTTCCATCCTGGTGGTGTCCTGAAACAAGTCTGAATAATATGATTGGGTCCTGAGTATATGGAAAGGACCAAACTGTTCATTCAGAGTTGTAATCTGCTATCAGGTCCATGAATTTGTACCAGTAGCGTTCCTTTTCCTTACGTTGCTGGTGAATGATCTGACCGCTGGCCATTACAAGAAAATTGTCTGCTGTAAGGATGTCACAACAGGTTTTACCTCACTTCATACAGGCCAGACCAAACCCTATTATAACATTAGTTGGGTACACTTGCTTTTTTCCCCAAGGTTACTCAACCTTGGGGAAACTCAAGGTTACTCAACCTTGGTTACTCAACCTTGGGGGAACTCAACATTTCAGTATAGATCAGCTTGATGGGTTTTCTCGGTGTTTTGTGATACAGAAGTATGGCGCAATAGCACCACGTTTGTACTTTCCAGGCACTACTTTCTAGGGGTTTGCACTGAATTTTGATTCATTTATGCTAACGTAATTATCCGGATTTCTAAGAATTCAACACATTGCTGCAAAATTATCACTTCTTAAAACTAGTGACGAGAGTTCAGCAGTGTTACCTCTGCATTTTTCATTGAAAAATAAATAAATAAAAAAAGAACTTGGCCTGTGCAAAGCAGCTGGTATTTGCTTCAGATACAGATTCAGGGGACAGTGGTTTGACTGGGTGATTTGAATCGCTGTCCCGATTTGATTCGGCCGAATCTGATTTGGAGATTCAGCTGCGGCCGAATCTCCAACTTGGCCATGCCCATCTTCCCCAGCCCGGCAGTGGCTGCCCCACCTGCCCCAGCTCCTGGCACTTGGGGGAGGAAAAAAGCCCTGACTCAGCGGGTGCTTCTGGGTGGGGGGTGATCCCCATTGCCCCATGCTGCATGGGGGGCTCTGCATGAATCTTTTCTGAAGATTCGGAGAGCTTTGAATCTGTTTGGACCTTTAAATTGGTCCTGATTCAATTCGGAGATTTGGCCACTGAATCAGGCTGAATCTCCTCTGAATTGAATCACCATCTGAACCTTCGCACAGCCCTAAAAAGAACTACAGTTTTTATCTAGGGTCTTGAATATTTTTTGTAGGTGTGATAGGTGCTTCTGATTTATACAGGATACATATATCAAGCATTGAGCAATGTTTTTTTTACCATTCTGTTAAAACAATTTATTCTTTAACATTTATCTCATTCACAAGCTATATCAAATATACAGAATATAAATTATAATAACCATTATTGGACTACTGTCCCATGCTTTATATGTTTAAATTTCCTCTGTCACCATGTTAATTAGAATGTTTTTTTTTTTTTAATTTGATAGAAGTGTGTGCGCGCACGCGCACATGAGAATTACGGTAAAATGGGCTTGTGTTAGGTTTTGTGAAATATACCTAGAAATCTATGTAGGTTTCCTCTGATGAACATGGCATGATCCAAAAATGTTATTAAAAAAAGAGGGTTTCCTATACTGATAAGGAAGCAGTTACCACGTTAGCTTCCCTACATCATTTATTTAAGGGTAATAAATTCATAAGAGTAGGAATGCAGCAATCACCAAGAGGTCTCATTTTGCTGAGTTACATGTTCAAGAAAAAATCCAACTTCTATGCCATTCAGAAAAGCACCCACTAGAGTAACTCACATTTATTTGAAATTTAGTTCTTCAGAAATGCAGAGTTCTACAGTATAAACCTGCAATCCATTCACAAATGCACACTGTGAAGACTTCAGAAATACTGTTGCCAACATAGTTTGTACTGCAGAGCTGTCTGTGCTCAATATACCTGCACAAGGGAACTGTATAAATGCTCATGAGAACTGGAAGCACATGCTCAGCTTTCATAAATCCCAAACTTCCCAACTTTTAAAAGGAACTCATCCTTTTAAAGTACAAGGTGAAGTGGAGGCAACAGGTTTTGTCCACTGTGTAGTCAGACTGACTGGTGCACAAAGCTCTCTAGCGAGTGTGTTTAGATATGTCTTAGTGAATTGCACGGTGGGCTTTTAATAATGAAATAGTCCAGAGTTTTGTCTTTGATCACTGAGGCATGTCAGTTTTTATAACTAGTTTCATTTTTAAAAGAAACTGGTTACTTTTGGTCTCTGTCTATAGGTGAGGCATAGTACAAATAGTGCACAATTCACTTGTCTCATGTTCCAATATAGATCAGAGATGACCTGGATAACTCCTAGCTATAATAAGCAGGAGCTCAAGAACTGGTTGCACCTACGAAGTTGGGTTTAAACTGGAAACTAAGGGCACCCATACATGAATAGCAAGGCTGCTGTGATGCGATATAATTACAGCATGCATATCAGCACCCTGCACTTAAAAATGGCAGTAGGGGTGCTTTACCTAAAGCTCATCAGACTAGCTTGAGTTAAAGTGACCCTGCTGCCATTTTTAAGTGTGGGGATGCTGATACACGAGATGCTATGAGCGCTTTATTTAGAGCAGGTCTCGGAGCCATTCTGATTAAAGTGCCCCACCTCACCATACCCCCCCAACCCCCGCAGTATGTGTGTAAATGCCCTATAGGTTCTGGCTTAGCTAGGAAGCTCCTTGATTGCTTGCATGTTTGTTTGAGGGAGAGAGGGGGGGTTGTATTTTCTTGGTTTTTTTAATTGTAAGCAACCTAGCATTAAATATGTAAATGTATATTAAACCTAGTTCAAGTAACACATTTAATAATTGCCTTGCTTACAGCTGGGAAGAATGGAAACTGTGGTGTCAGTACTACTGAAAGCTTTGAGTTCTAGGAATAGGTTGTCTTGTTTCTCAGTGGTCACTTGTGAGTTGAGTGCTCGTCATTCTATTGGTTTGGCTTGTATTGCAGATCAAGATGGTGATAAGAAACTTACTCTTTCCGAGTTCATTTCCTTGCCTGTTGGTACAGTGGAGAACCAGCAAGCTCAGGATATTGATGACGATTGGGTGAAAGACCGAAAGAAAGAATTTGAGGAAGTTATTGATTCCAATCATGACGGCATCGTCACAATGGAAGAGCTGGAGGTAGGTGTCTCTGACTTCATCATTTTTCGTGTTGAGAAAAATGCATGATGGATCTATTAATAGCTACTACACAGAACAGTCGGATGCCTCTTCTGGCATCTCTGAACCAATGATTGTGGATGCCAGGAAGAGTAATGAACATAAAATAAATCACTTTAGACATACCCAGCTCAATACTCTCCCTGTAAAGCATCTACTCATGCCATTGTCAAAGACGACTACTGGGCTAGATGGACCATTGGTCTAACCCAGTATGGCACTTCATGTTCATTATGTTCTTAAAATCGCTTGAAATTTTCCAAATACAGTGACAGACACCATTCCAAAGAACATACAGTCAAAAAACTTTCCCATCCTCAGATGATGGCAAAGGTGCAGTTTTTGGATGTTTTGGCACATAATATACCTAGGAACCATGAGAGAGACACTAGAGTAATGTAGGGGAAAAATATGTTCCCAATTTAGCATTTTTTTTTCCCTTTTTGTATAGTGCCCTAAATAGGTTGTTTTCTTAATTTGTAGTACATGAAAGCAAGCCACAGGCTGTGGTAGGGGTACAGATTTTTGGGAGATTACTCATTTTCAGATAGGAAGAATGATTCAATTAAGAACCTGTATATTCACATTAAAGCTTAAAAAAAAGAACGTGCATATACTCTAGTTTTTAATTTATTTGTAAGTTTCCAAATTGGTGTGCCATTGCACAGAAGCACTCACTGCATCTTGTGCAGTCAAAGATCTCAGTTGCAAGAAGACTAGATTGTTAGATGCAGGAGAATTGGAGATGACTCATATGGGAGAGCGATCTGTCCTAGGTAATATGAGGGAGTCATAATTGAAATCTGTTCTTGCTGCCTCCAGAATCTTAATGGTGAAAACTTGCAATGTGAGGGGAAAGGCAGCAAGATCTGTGAGCAATAAAAAGAACAAAATTCCAGAAAGCAAATGGATGTTTTTAGCTTTGGGTTTAATAAAGGAGTAAGCAGTTGCCAAAAACCAAAAAAGTTCATGCTTATGAAATCAAAAATCAGAATAATAGAAAATGGAGGTGGGTGCATAAATAGATGGGCCAAAATCTTATTAGAGAAATTGGATTGAGTCAGAGAATGTTATGATGTAGATAAGTTATACAGGGATAATGAAATAAAACCTTCTGTACAATGGAAAGAGGAATCTGGCTGACTGTGGAGAACATGCCTAGATAATTGCTCAGTTCATATTGGTGCCTAAACCCTGTTACCACTTGGACACTACAATTGATACCCCTGGCTGTATGAAAAGTTCTGTAGAGCTTTGAGTGCACATTATTGAGACTCTGGGTCTACATCTCATATGTATGACATGGTGCATTATGCTGTGGAATCTGCACCTGTCTCCCACAAAAGTGAAATCCTCCTTGAAGCACCTAAAATATGTAAAGCCTTTCATCCTTGTACTGTCAGTTTTTAGCTTGAGATCTGATGCAGTTGTAGGTAAAGGCATGTAGTCTTGCTGCAGCTGTGTAGAGCTGTATAGGTTTCGTAATGCGGGCCTGAGAGATCCTGGACCAAAAACCATACAAGAGATCTCAAGCCTTACAGTTCAAATCTTTATCTTTTGCTCTTCTTCATCTTGTTTTCAGTTTTAGGGTTCAAGACCAAAAGTTTTATCATGTTAATGTGTGTGTAACTTTACCAATTCAGTACTGAAACTGGGGCATTCTTAGTAATTTTATCTAACCAGGTGATCACGTTCGTTGGGGTTTTTTTCTTCTTTGTTTCCAAATAAGTCATTTTGAGAGTTGTTTTAATTTGGATCTTTTTCTGGTTACTGTGTTTTAAAAAAAAAAAAAAAAAAAAAAAAAAT